ATTTCAGACAGTTCATTCAAATGATTCATTGATAAGGCATTAATTAATTATATTTTGACAAAATCCAGTTCTTGCAAACAGTTAAATCAAAACCCAATATCTGTCTTATTTCTCCACATCCCACTTTTGGACTTAATCCTCATTTCGATGTGACGGGTCACATTTATATTTTTATTTAGTCTATTATGTTTGTTTTATTAGTTCATTGTTCTCCATGCATTTAAAAAAAATCAAATTAACAATTTAGTGAAATTTTTTGAGGACACCCAAGACACCTGTCACGGACCCCTGGGGGTCCTGGGACCCCAGTTTGAGAACCTCTGACTTAGAGAGCAGAGTGACCTAACATTGAACCGAGAATATACAACTAAATAAGATAATTATCAACAAAAGTCATTTCAGGGCTTCAGAGTGTCAGCCTCACGGACAGAAACTGGAAGTTGGTTCCACAAGAGAGGAGCTTGATAACTGAAAGCTCTGCCTCCCATTCTACTTTTAGAAACTCCAGGAACCACAAGTAAACCTGCAGTCTGAGAGCGAAGAAAATTTTTGTTTTATTCATCCTTTATTTATACAGGAAGATATCTTGAGACTCATTGTCTCATTTACAAGACAGACCTGGTACATCCACCACAACAAAGTAGCACAAAAACAATAATAATCAAATTTACTTAACACTTTTAAAAATCAATACATCCATCATCAAAGAAAGGGTTTTCAAATTACTTCCACAAAATACTTGAACCAGGAAATATCTCTCAGGTGTTTCATTTTCTAAAAAGAACATTCAAACATCTATAGATTCTGTCTCATTTAGAAGAGAGACCTGTTACTGTACATCCACCACAACAAAGTATCATAAAAACAATAATAACATTTACTTAACACTTCTAAAAATCAACACATGCATCATCAAAGAAAGGGTTTACATTGAGAACAGGTACAGGTGCTTACAGACAAATTTTCAAATCTGTTTGTTAAAATCTTAAACTTCCCAAGTGTGACCAAACTGGGGAGCTTCAGGTCCTGAAGCTGGTTCCAGGTGTCAGGGCCAGAAGCTCAGTGCTCACTGAAGGACCACTGAACGTAATAAAGTCCTGAGAACGAAGGCTGTGCTGGTGTTTTTACATGAAATATAACATGTTAAATGCTTTTATATGTAGCCTAGCTTGTGATAACAGTGCATTTAAAAAACTGACAAACAAGGATCACATGATGACAAACTGATCAATCAACCAACTTAGTTTTTAGAAAAAATGTATAATTTGGGGAAATTAGCTTTATTCTGAAATAAATCTAGACTTTTGCATTCTGTGAACTAAATATTTAACCTTAAAAT